AGTTCCCGCGAGACTGTCATGTTTTCCTTCAGTTTTTTCGACTTTATAGTTCTCAACTTATCCCTAGCTTGATGAGTTTTCTGTTTTCGGTATATTTACAATTTTCGGATATTTTTGATTTTGTTTTTGTCGAAGTTATGGATTTGTTTTTGCTATTTATATTTTTTTCCGAGCTTTCAGTATCTGAACATGACGGTTCATTTTTCTTCACTCTGATTTAATATGGCGTAATTTTTGGATTCTTCATTTATTGTTTTCTATATATTGTTCAATAAATAGCAACTGGTTAATCACTTCTGTTTATGCATATTCATATGTTTCCTCATGTCGACATGAAAAACAACGCTGACAAATTCAAATATCTTTTTACGGAGTTATTTTATGATACGTAATTCATTATTCACTCATTGATAAGTCGATCACAAACTGTTCACCATATATAATGAAAGCAAGATGATGTTTGATTTCTATATTATTATTATTATTATTATTCAGCTGTAATTTTTATAGAAAAGCACATTAAATAATAAAAATTGAAAGATACAAGAAATCAGTGTTGTTTTTTCGTTTAAAAAAAAACCACATCTAACAAAATGTTGATGATGATGATGTTGAAGAGGCTACGTAAAAATCATGACAATGATGAAAAAGAAAATAGTGTACTTGAAAATGAGTGCTTGATAGTGGTCATACACACAAATTGATATGTGCCAAACATATATATGACTGGAGAGAAAAACAATTCTATTATGCAGGTAGGTAGGTAGGTAGGTAGGTAGGTCAATTGTGATAATTCCACATGGATAAGTAAATGAATTTCGAACTACAAACAGACAGACAGAGAGAAGGAATTATGCTTGCTTCTTTAATTTCGCCGATTTTGCACGTGAATCTTCAATTTTCTTTTGTAATTCTTCCTCTGAATAAACAGGACCTGTATAATGTATGAATATAAAATTGTATTTTATAGAGAAATTTTATCGGATTGACAAAATATATAATGTTTTCAAATTAATGGAGTTCAACTATGTTGGATATGAAGCAGTTACCCAGTGAAGATACTGGATGACGATCGCGTAATATCGTGGATTGATTGAAGTTGGACGCTAATGCCGCCCCAGTGGTCAAGAGGTCGAGCATTCATGATCAAGACCGAGGTTTATGAGTTCGATTCCTACTTTCGGAGTCGTGGATAAGCACCACTAAGGAGACGCATACTAGGACGGCCAGCCCGTGCTTCTGGGTTTTTAATGCCAGCTTACGATTTCAAAGATTACTCTATAAAGTCATCCCCTAAATCAGTAGACATCTTTTAAATCTTTTATAAAACTGTCGATTACCAATGGATTCGGTAATTTGATAGTTTGAAAAGAAAACGTCAACTATAAGGTATGAACAAATAGGCAAGAATGACTAATGATAATCATAGAGAATTTTTCATGGTAGGTCAGTATCTATTTCTAATAGCAATAAATTCCTCAGTTATATGCAGTCATAATACTAAGAAGGATTAGAAACAGAGCTATTAGCTATTGAATTGAGAACAATTTAGTTAACAACTGTAACTACAGTTAATTTTTGTGATAATTAGCTGGCTTTTGAAAATGAATGTCTTATACCCGGCACAATTGATATCCCTCAGTTACAACGTCACATTAGTACTATGATTTTGATAGAAGTAAGATATTACAGCATTTCTATAACTAAACAATGGAAAAGTACAATATTTTATAGCTTAGTATTTTAATCGACCATATAATTACTTCGAAATCGTGAGTCGACGAATGTAAGACAACCACTAGAAACCTGGACGGCCGTTTCGTCCTGGTATGTTAATGTCTAACTTCGACCAATGGTTGGCTAACACCGATCGATTCACGATTTCAAAGTAGTTCAACAATCTCCACAATCCTAAAACGCAAATTATATAATTACGTAATCACCCAAACCCTACACACCCGGATTTCCGGATTGAATAATACAATGTAGCTGGAATTTTAATTGCTTGAATTGAAGTTTATTTTTACTACTGATATACATACACAAACCTATTAAACAAAGCGATTTATTTTCATGGAAAACCACAATTGACAATCTATATGACTGTAAAATACAATTCACAATCGGGTTCATAATAACTCTCACCTTATTATCCTCTTCTGAATAATCTTGATTTTCAGCACTCCATCATATATAATCTTTCACAAACCATATCCGCAGTGTGCACTCTCTACTTCTACTACTGCTACTACTACCACTGCTGTTACTACAATGTTTTCATCTATTTTGTTCATTTCATTGCATCATACTAATACGATAATGACAACTTGAGCCAGCTCACAGTCAGTCAGTTAGTCAGTTGCAACGTAGAACTTATGAACATAAGTTTAGGTTGCCATACCACATTAGCAGAGAGACACAAATTTCAAATCAAATACCATAATGCTAGTGTTGTAACGGTTGCTTAGATATTCTCTAGGCTAAATCTTATTGCTTAGTATTCTTGACACAAAACACTGGACAAGTAACCCAAATCAGAACACGATTAAACAGGAAGGATTGTATTCCAAAATAGCAAGGAAAAGAAGCCGGAGGTGATGGCGAAGCCAAGGCAAAGAAAGCAAGAAGGCTAAGAAGGCAAGAAGGCAAAGATAAATACAATGCTAGTCTATTTATAGCCTTTACATGAGAAAACTTCTGGAAGAAAATTCACGTGATCGACTGGACTGGATTTGACCAATCAGCATGCAGCTAATAATACGAGAATTTTCTATCCTGTTCTCCAAGCTTCGATCAGGCGCTGATGTCCCACTAACAGCTAGAGATAGTAGAGGTATTAATGGTAATGAAGAAGACTAGGATTTGAAGATATTATTCAAGAAGTAAAATTCAGTGAGATAAGGTTAGGAAGACAAAGGTAGAGGTGCTGACGATTACAGAAGATTAGGATTTGAGAGAACACAACGAATGGATGCACTTGCGCCATTGCAAACGATTTTGAGCCATGTCGTTCAACGTCTCTAACCGTTGATGACTTTCGTCTCGCGGACCCCAACCAGGTAGCTTACATCTAACAACATGACTCAGTCCACTTGTCAGTGACTTTATGGATTTGTGCCATGTTTTGGTCTGGTCGCCCCTGGCTTTCTTCCAACCTACTCCTACTCACACCTATAACTGATTCTATCTTGATGACAGGCTAGCTAAAGGAAGTGAATTAAGGTTCAAACTAGTGATTCACTTAATGAAGAGTCCAACACCGTAATCATTAAGTCACTACTACTCGACATGATTGTAAGTTGATAATTTAAAAAATATCCCGTAAGGGCATTCTTTCTCCTTTATAGAATTCAGTAATCAAACATTGGAACATTTGAGATTAGAATCATATAACTGAAGAAAAACAAAAAGTCAATTGTTAAAAAAAAATAATAATAAAACAATGACTTACCAATATTTTGAATATTTTTATTACCATTATTCAAAATATTATGGTGATAGCGTCGACGTGAAGGAGAACTATGCATACCTCGAAAATGAACAGATTTTGTGGTATTGACAGTATCACTACCACTAATACTACTACTAATAACAGTAGTAGCAGTAGCAGTAGTAGTAGTATCAGTGTTCAAATAGTGTGAATTCGAGTCGACAATTGAACCATCACCAACAATCTTTTGATTTAATGATTCTTTAAGAGAAAAACTATTGTCAGACAATTGGTCATATTCACCGTCATCATAATTTACATAACTTGCATCCAAACAACAACATAAGTAGATAATTCCACTAAACATTAATGCTGGCACTCCAAGCACTAAAAGTGCTAACAATGGTCTAGTAGTAAGGAATTTCTAGATTATTTCATAAAAGATAAAGAAGGAGAAGGATAGTTATGATAGATAGATAGAAGTATCGATTATACATTAGTTGGAAGTTACAGTGTTCTTTTTTTCATAACATACATACATACATAGAATATCTACCGCGATAAGGGTTTGAAGAGACTGATAAATCTTATCATGTATATAATGGCATAATCATATTTAAATGACCAAGAGATATTGGACAGCTGTTTTATTTTCTAATGGGATTACACCACAACAATATACATTCACGATACGACGATAGGGGATCGGCGCTAGATGGAATAATTTGGGAAACCTATTTAAACCATCAGAAGACTACCTGATCTAGACATTGTTAAATTCGATCGTTTAACAGGCAATTTGTGGTGATTTATAAGTAACTTAATGCTAAAATTCATCGCCCTATTTGATGCCTTATTGTTTAAGGGAGGCTATAAAAGCAATCGAAAGTTTGATGACTTAACCGGGTGATTTGAACATTCATAAAACCATGGGAATATTGATAATATAGTTCGGTTATTTAGATGACGTTGTTAAAAAGTTTCTAGACGGGTTTCCCAGAGGTAAAGGTGTAATGAATAGAGATGTCTTCAGTTTGATCAGATTAGAAGGGTACAATATTAACCTTAAGGTGATTTTGACTGATATGAGTTACGAAATGTCTGACAAACATAAATGGAAAAAGATGACTCCCGAATCGTTTGTAAGTCAGATTGGCAGATATAACGTCTAACTGATAGGATAGAAAATCGCTTCAGAACGAATTTATCCATTATTCGCGTACAAATAGTTATCCAGTGAATGACAGATAACCAAGGACAGGACATGTATTCAGCTTATTAATAACAATATTCCTTGTCTCTTCGAGATAAATTCTGGATCAGAAGTTGTGAAGCTAGATTGTAATCCCATAAAACAAGATTAGCGGACGCTTCAAATGTTTAAAACCTTATCGTAGTTCGAAAGAGTAAGGATGTATAATAGCAGACACGAAAGCTGCTAGTATACACTCTCTATGAAGATCGATTATCCACCTAGTTCACTTATATTTCTTACAAGTTCAATTGATTGGTCCTTTGGGTTCAAAAAGTAAACTTACGCTCCTTTTGCTTAATAGTATTATTGAAACTATTCTTATTGGTAAAAATTTAACAAGAAAACTCGAATTATAAGGTACTTTTTAATACAGTTTGTATTCATATATCCATCGATGGAAAACTTTTAAACAATATACTATTCGTTGTGAGCTTTGTAGTTAAATCTCTAAAAGACATCTCTAATGGATATCAATGATTTATCTTTTAATCATGAAATAGATAGATATTTTACCGAAACAATTCCTCATCTTAACATACTATACTCAATATCTAATGGACACTATTGCCGAATCTAATGAAAATTGATAGGAATCGTAATAGTAATCATAATCAATTACATCGAATCATACTCATATTGACGTGACTATTTGCTTGAGATGATTTAGATGCAAATGAATTATTGTCTAAAACGAAGGAGAAATAGAAAAAAAACTTCACTAACGAACAACAACTAAAACAACTGAATTCTATTTATACAACTTACCGATAAACCAATCAGTAAATTATATCCTAAACGTTGTAATCGTATGGAAATTGTATTACCTCCAATAGGCTAGTTTAGATTTTGACAAAAAAAAACATAGTAGATAAAGGAGTCTTTTTATATTTAACAAGAAAAACGTTAAACACATGAATTAACGTCGTCATTACATTAAATTATGACTAGCAATTGAATTCACCATGTACAACATTTTGTTGAATTCAACACTCATCAAATAAATAGTGGGTAGTGAGTTTGAATTTCAGGAGAAAAATCAACATTACAGTGTGAATATGCATCCAAACGACGAGTCCACAGTAGGAAGAAACTACAATTTTTTGATTTCACTAATTAGCCACAAAAACTAACTTGACTAAAACATCTGCTGAAATACAGTCTACTCAAGATTCATATATGCTAATAGAGACTAATAATGAAATGCAATTGTGAATATCAACAACAATGAAACTCAATCGCCTTATATTTATGTGTAATGCAGATAGTGTCAGCTACCAATCGATAATCACAAGAGAACTGGTTACAATTAGCGGAATTTGAAAGAAGAACAAAATCATTGTGAATATATTATAAAAAAATGTTATACAAATATTATTTCAATTAAAGAAATGACATGAATCGATTTACGAGCAGATGTTACTATGTCTGTTAAAATCTTAGTTTCCTTTTCTTAATTGTTTAATCTGCATTATCAATGAGATTTTTTTTATCACTGATTAATATACTTATCTATAAATGGCCTTGAAATTATCTAACCTTCACAAAATATCTCTTCGAGTCATATTGTGGTATGAGCTACTTATAAGTAGTATATGATGTGAGTGTCAACGTAATGTCTGGCAGCAGAAGATGGGGGAAGATCAAGAAAGGAAGAGTTAGAACACGATGGAATTTGTATGAAACGCATGAATAGTGACGATGGATTGATGTTTTGCAACAGGAACAGTCCAGTTCCATAGGATGAACTGATCTTTTGCAAATGAACGATTTACGATATGGTTTTCCGATTTTACTGAGTAACTCTGTAATTTTCGTTAAATACAATTCGGTTACCCCACCTGTGTTCTCGTTCACTACAATATGATCAATTTCATTATTATTACCGACACAATCATTTTTTTCTTTGCTAGTCAGTCATCTTTTCAATGAAAATATGGACCAATGCATATTTATATGCCAGACTTTTCAAACATTGATTATGATTCTAGCTGATATCGTTGATAGCAGTTCGTTAAACAATTGAACTTTTAATTAATTAGTCAGTTTTAATAAAAGTTTTAAAGTTCAACAATTCATCCTACTTACATAAGTTATGCTAATATAACATAACACAACCAGTCAATCATAAAATAAGATGCAACAAAAATACAACCAACTGATATCTCATTGTCAAAATAACTCCTATAGTTAAACGGATGATTTATGTATGACAATAAAAATCAACTACAGACAATATATATATATATATATATATATATATATATATATATATATATATATATATATATATACTTCCGTCTGGAGCCCTTCTGGCGTTAAGGCCGGCCCCAAGCCCGGATAAAGGAGAGGGGCTAGCCATGGGGTTAGCGACCCCATCCCGTAGAAAACTGACTTGCTAAAAAAAAGCAAACCAGAACAAATGATTCAAACCATTTAACTTCCCCTCTGGAGGTTGGAAGGTCTTCATTCAGAAAAGTTAACACGTCTTATAACGAAAGCCGAGTTTTTTCGGAAGTCACGAAGTTGATACCTCATTCTCACAATCACAGCAATAATTAATATAGGTAAATGAAATGTCCGTACATTGTGGGAGATCGGGAGAAACATTCAAGTTGCTGCGGACATGAAAAGATGAAACCAGGTGGTGCTTCAAATAAGTGGGATACACTAAACGTAGCTTCAGAAGAGATGCTCTTTTACACCGGTCATGAAGAGTAAAATGCCTCATTCACAAGGAGCTATCCAAGATGCTGTCCAGCGAAGCACAAAAAGCACTTACAGAATGGGAATGTCATGGACCCGGGATTATTAAAAACTCCTTCAAAGAAAGAGGGGATAATAGTGAATATCATTGAGTAATATGCGCCTTCCAACAGGCAAAATGAGCACTTCAGTCAATCGTAGAGAAGTGCCCAACAAAAGACTTGACCATCCTGTTAGGAGGCCCGCACTCCGCACTTGGAATGGACAACACCGGATATGAAGACATCGTAGGACGACATGGACTGGGAGAAAGAAACGAAAACGGTGAGAGGTTCATAAACCTATGTGCCTTCAACAAACTGGACATAGGTGACATCATATCCCCACACAAACACATAAACAGACCCACATGGGTTTCAATCGATTATACTACATAGGACCAAATCGGTCACATATGCATCGATACAAATTTTAGAAGGACCATGGAGGATGTGCGAACACCTGGTAGTTGTCTAAATGAAATTGAAACCCAAGAAGCATTGGACAACTGGGAGAACAGAGTCAAAAAAGCTTAATAAAACCACATTATTTCGAGATACTGGGAAACTCAACGGATTCAAGATATGAATCAAGACCTTTATGATCTAATCAATGGAGAGGAAATTGTTATGGAGCATGACTGAACAGGGATCAAAGAATCATTAACTTTAACATGTTATAAGGTTTAGGGCCACAAAGAGCACCATCATAACGAATGGATCACTGTTGACACATTGGATAAAATTCAAGAAAGTAAGAAAAGAGGACAGCAATCAAGAACAGTTGAACAAGAGCAGATAAAGTCAAAGCATAGGCCGAATACACAGAAGCAAACAAGCCAGTGAAGAGGAGCATCAGAACTATCAAACGTAAACATGTCGAAGGTCTAGCAATGACGGCGGAAAAAGCTGAAAAAGAAAGCAACATCAAATAACTAGATGACACAACAAAGAAGCTCACTGGACAACACAGTAAACCAGAAAGACCGGTGAAAAAACAAGGAAAGCAAACCAATCAGCAACATTGAGGAACAGAGTGACAGGTGGGAAGAGCATTTTAGAAAACTCTTCAATAGATAAACCCCATTGAATCCACTTAACATCGAAGGGGCACCTACGAACCTCTCAAATAATGTTGACTGACCCACAAGAGATCAGCATGGCCATCAGATAAATCAAGAGCGACAAAGCAAAAGAACCAGACAACATACCAACTGAGACACTAAAAGCAAACATATCAGTAACTGCAAAGATATTGTACGCTCTGTTCAACAAGATTTGAGAGGAAAGACTGGAAAGAAGCATATATTATCAAGATACCAAAGAAAGGAGATCTTATTAAGTGTGAGAACTACAGAGGCATCACTCTACACTCAATACCAGCAAAAGTCTTCAACAGAGTACTGTTAAACTAAAATGAAAGATTCAGTAGACGCCAAACTTGAAGATTAACCGGCTGGATTTCTTAAAGATGCATTCACTGAACGATATTATTCTGCATGGAATACGATCTACACACGCTAAAAATCAGCTTCTAATAATACTCCATCACAAAAAGGCAAAATATATTAAACTTTCAACCAAAAAAAAACTATTTGACAATTTTCCTCACTTTAATCTTTTCATCATTGACAAGCATTAAGAAATTAATCAAATTGCTTTCATCAAGTAACAATGAATGCAATGTATAATGATGATGATGATGATTTGATAAATATACAAATAATTCATGTGTTACAGGATTTAAAACAATGAAATTTGGTATAGTGATTGTTTGCATAGCTAAATCTTCTAAACTTTCTACATCATTAGTCCAAGCTAATTGAAAAGATCTACGGAAAAACAAAATGAAAAATACATAGAAATTGATCAGTTATTGTGTGGATATTCATCTAATATCCTAAGGGAATTATTAGTCAAATCCTATTGGTCGATTTCTATGGTCGTCTTAGCTGTCAATACCACAGAATTCGATGCTGTTTTACCTATTCGACCGAAATGTATAAATACGCATTATCTGTAACAATTTATGACCACGACCAGGACCAGGGCTCGGTCCCGGATCCCTAGTCCGGGATCCTGATTCTCTTCTGGATTCGGACCTCGCACATTCTGAATGCTTGTAGAATACATGTTCTACTTCATATCACGTCTTCTTATTTTTACTAAATATGGGGGTTGGGATAAAAGGATTTGAGTAGCATGTCGTGTCACCGGATCTTCGATCCTCGCTCTCGTTTTCCGACTAGGTAAACTCGTAATAGTTCAAGTATATCAAGTTGACGTATTTACGTGCAGGTGTAACAGTTATTTAACTATAAACTAGTTTATATTATTTATTGAGTAAAAAAAAGTTTCAATTCTCTTGATGTTGTTGTTGTTGTTGTTGGTGTTCAAAATTCAATTTTTTCTATTCTTTTTTTTCGTGATATGTGAATGTGTATCAAGTGAATTGTATTAAGTTTCATTGTGAATATCAAACACTAGGAGTTAGACAAATGTGTAACCCAGCTGACAAGTGCCAAATTCTGGTAATTTTAAGTTATCATTACTACAAAAACAGTTTATTGAAGTCTTTCAGACAATTGTTTAAGTAAACTGGTTAACTCTACTTTAAATCAATAATTGATCTTAGCTAACTCATTACTGATAATCTGGAAGCGCTGAACGGTCGCTTCATTTCACTATGGGACCGTGTTGAGTATGAGACAGTTATCTAAAGCATGGAACGGATGAGGATCGTGCAACACCGTAAATTGATTGAAGCTAGACGTGTACAGGTTAAGCATTCGCGTGTGAGACCAAAGTTAGGAGGTAGAATTCCTGGATGTATGGATATTGGAGGTGCACTGTTGAGGAGTATCATATTTGAACAAAACGGCTATCCAAGTTCTTCTAGGCTCTCATTGGTAGTCTAGCCAAGATTTTACAATCTACATAAATCTCCTAAAGCGATAAACTGTAAAATATACTCACTCACTTGCCCACTTTTATAAAAGGTTTACAACATACACTTTGAAGTGAAACAACAATGAATTACAAAATCGAAGAAATTATTGGTTTAAAACACAATACCAATACTCTACACAACATATTACGCCTAAGATAGTCATCCATATACAACATGGAACCTGGTACACATATACACCAGTTGTTACATCACATCAGCATAATGCGAATCCATAGTAATAAAAGCAGTAACAGTATTAGTGGAAGTATAAAAGGTAGTACATAGAAGATAATGGTTCAAGAAGAAAATATGAATTAGTGTTACAAATAAGCTCTTAAAACTTACGATTTGAAGAGTGGAAACATCTCCATCATTTCGAACAATTCTGGAGCATGTAACTCAAAGCCACTAACCAGTGGTTACCATAATCTCTCGGACCCCAACCAGATAGTCTGGTTCTTTTGACACGATTCAGTATAGGAATGACTTCATGAACTGATGGCATAACTTAGTTTGGAAGCTTCTAACTTTTATTCAATCTACTCTGAAACCAGCCATCAGTGCGTGGAGAGGTGGACAGTGGTTAAGCATGTACTCAGCCCATGAAGACTCCTAACCGCACCAACTGACTTGCCAATTGGAACTAGTGTCTTAATGACGACCTTAAAACTGTCCACTTGAGCGTTCCACAATACGCAAGCAGTGTTGCAAAGAGATCTATTATCAGAAATACGGGTCAATAAACTCTAGCTCAGTGTTCTAACGATAATGTACCCGCTACTAGACCCAAGAATGATAGAGAACTACAGCTGACGGTTTTTTAGGTGCACAGATTACTACAAATAAGTTTCAGACTAGGAAAAACTGACATTTTATTGTACTTTAATATTTAATAGTACTCCACCTGACATTAATCAGTTATGAAAACTGTTTGTCTTTACATTCAACTGATTTGCCATAACTAACACAATCAAAATAACATCGTGGATGCGTGTGACACACTTACCGTATTATATGAGGTAGACGTTTAAGCGCCAGGTTTCGTCCGAAATCCAGTACTCTGTGTTTGTATTAACAGAAATATTAATTCAATAAAACCAGTTACAAAAATACATTACATTTGTTAATAAAAATAATATTTTAACAAGTGATTAATATTATTCAAACGTTGATAAAGCATTTGGACATTCAGTACGCAATACTTAGTATTCATGTAGGTAGAGACAAACAGTATGAAGTTGTACTGGATCTAAGTTATTTGCGCCCTGATACTTCTCATCAATGGAGACTAGCTCGAGTATTAAAGGAAACGACACCCCATCCCTGAGTTCCCCAGTTGTTAGGCAGATTAGCAATGATCTATTCAGACTGAAAAGAATATCTTCATCGGTTTACAAATATTCCTTGACAGATTGCTGTAGATTCGAGTCATATATGATTTTCCATGAAATACAATATCTGAACTACATGTACATGGCTATCTAAATCTAAAGTAGTCGTTAAAAACCGAAGCTTTTTGCATTGCCAGTTTGTTCGGGTGACTTGATGATAAAGTCTGCTTATGACCAGTTTATGTGATAACCTTCGAAACTGTCCTACTTGAAATTGTGTCGATAATTTCACTTTTTACTTATTAAATACTTTATATTTTTAAAATTTTTTATTATCCTGCTCGTAAGCTTTTTCGTGATACATAACCTGTTGTTTTGTGTTTTAATTTCCTTAAGTTACTTCTAAAGTATTACGAACCTATTAATCAGTTCTCTTCCGTTTAATGGCCAAAATATGCCTTTACTGTAAATTCCTAATTATATGTGGTTAAGATTTTACTCATTTAATTCATGACTGAGTTGAGTGAAATGAGGGACTATTCCTCTTCTGGTCTTCACCTTCTGACTGACTAGTAGGTTAGGAAGAGCACGAGTATTAATAAGCCTCAATCTTTTACGTGTTGGCATTTTTATCTCAACTCACTTTCTTTTGTGTATTAATCTATACTACTTATTTATATTTAGTAACCCATTTCATTTCTTATAACTTTTGAGCATCTGTCGTGGTGTGGCTGCTGCCTTATGATATTTTTAGGTATTGACAAACTGATGATGTCCAATTTATTCATTATTGAAGTCTCATCTTTTTAATGCTTACAACAGATGACCTCAATTGTAATGTATAAACTGCATATTGGTTTTATTGTAACAGTTTCTACATTTTTCTGTTCTTCGTTCTCATTTTGATATCGTCTCTTATCGTAATCTCGACACGGATGTTAGCTGTGACGTAGCATATCGTATGTTTTTATGAATAGATCCTTGTATTCATCTTATTGGCTTACAGCCGGAGACTTTGACCTTAAAATCTAATCCAAAAAGCAGTGGAGTAACGTAAAGAGATGCATTCTCGTGGTAACCGATGACCGATAATAGGTCCATACGCTAGTTGTACGGTCAGGATCCTGAAGTCCATGTGCAGCACTGATTTGGAATCAGGGTTTTCCGACTCCCCTAGGTAAATTCTTTGTACCCACCAATCTAGTTATGGCGGTGGGCATTTGTTTTTTGCCCTCTCAATTTTTTAGATAGCACCCCCGCGCAAAGAGAAGGCAGTAGTGAGTAGGACTTCCCTGGCAGTGGCTATAAACACAAGGTGACATGAAAGTTTAAATGTCTGACTCACCTAGATGGAAAACTCCCTTCTGCTAATTGATCAATAACAAATAGTCCAAGTAAACGATAATTTCGATACGATTGTACCGGATTTGTATTTGAAGATGCTGATTGATGAACCACTGAATCAGTATTACTATTATCATCATTATCAGTAGTATTGTGAGCATCATTATTATTAATATTATTGTCATTGTGAATTTTCATCAATTCATTAGATGCGAACTCCCACCAATCAAAATGAGATAATTTCGGAAATCCCGGTTGTCGTTCACGTAACGTCCATAATATTAAATCTTGATATAATTCCGACTTATTATTTGTCAGTTGTAAATTTTCATCTACATAGCAATAATAATAATAATAAAACTATACCATTAGATGCGATCCAAATGGTTCTAATGATAGACATTTGCTATGAGATCTAATTCTTCATTGAATGATCAGTCAGTCATTCCCAACGTAGAACTTCGTATGTATGAACATAAGTTCAGGTTGCCATACCACATTAACACAGAGACGCAAATGTCAAATTAAATACCATAATACTAGAGATAGTAGAGGTATTAATGGTAATCAAGAAGACTAGGGTTTGAAGATATTATTCAACAAGTATAATTCAGTGAGATACGTTTAGAGAGACAAAGGTAGAGGTGCTGACGGATCCAGAAGATTAGGATTTGAGAGAGCACAACGAATGGATGCACTTGCACCATTGCAAACGATTTTGAGCCATGTCGTTCAACGTCTCTAACCATTGGTGACTTTCGTCTCGCGGACCCCAACCACGTAGTCTACATCTACTAACATGACTCAGTCCACTTGTCAGTGACTTCATGGATTTCTGCCATGTTTTGGTTTGGCCGCCCCTAGATTTCATCCAATCTACTCCTACACCACAAAACATAGCTTATCGAGGCAATCGGTGGTTAGGCATTCGTAACACATGTCCCAACCACCTCAACTGAAGCTTCACCAGTTCTTCTATCGATTTACCATCCTTACCTAGTACTCGTTTCCTAATGACAGCATTGCTTACTCGGTTGTCCCACGATATACGAGCAATGCTTCTAAGACATCTATGATCGAATACTAGTAACCTACGAAAGTCCTCTACTCTTAACGGCCGTGTTTCGCATCCATATAGGAGAACGGAGTGAACTGCTGCGCAGTACACCCGTCCTTTGGTTAGCGAACACTTCCTATCGATTAATCGATTGTTTCAACTAAGCAGTATTGATGAATGGATGAATACTACTACTGTATCTTGATTCTTCAAGTTCACTGAAACAAGTATTGTTTCATCTTAACTGTTGTTCTGATTTGAAAAGTGTCAACTGAAGGCACAGTAAGCAAGAATATGATAAGGCTGTGTAGTGTCGTAACATAACAGATTATACCAATCATTATCTACTTCCATGGTATATATATATATATGTATGTCATAAGGTAAGTGCTCAAAATGCCACAAATGTATAAAAACTAACTTAAAATTAATAACATTAACCAACTTAAACTTACTTGAAAATAGACCAGGATAAGAATAGACTTGAGAATCTTTAAAAACTAAAATCTCTGTAGATATATCGCTGGATGAATTCAGCGTCTCAATGTACGGCTATAAAAATGAGTGGAATTTGAAGTTTTATAAAGATAAAAGAAAATTTAAATGTCAATAATCTTAAACGAATAAAACTTGACAATGTAACATTGAGAACTAGCATAATGTTTTAGAGCATTCACATGTACAAAAATGAACTCTGTTAGTTCAGTTAGATTTTTTAAGCAAGCACAAATGATTTGGGAAAATAGGTTTGTTAAAACAAATATATAGTTGAAGATGAATTGATGATAATCTGAAGACGACCAATCCAGTGCTAACCATATATATCAATTTGTAAATTGATTTGTACGCGTATCAAGTCAGTTACATCGAGTATATCATTGTATGGTAATGAATTTTAATGTAAAACTGATTAATTTTTAGTTTAGAATATTTTTTAAGCAGAAAGGGACAGCAACTAGTAATGTAACACCAATACTGGGGGATGCAACTATATCTAGACCATAGAATCAGGGATTTTAGGCGCCCCCGCCCCGCCCCCATCCTTTAGGTGAATCGTCCACATCCACAGTAGGTCCAATTTAAGCACTGAAAACCCGCCTTCTTACTCTTGCCTTTTTGAAGAAAAAAAATATACACCTCTGTCGCATGAAGGCAGTAGACAGGACCTACATGAAAGTGAGTAGAAACGCGGGACAACTTTTGGAAGGGGAGTAAATTCTTGTCACCCCCAGTTGCACCAGGACAGTTTGAGTGAAATATCGATTCAAACGTCGGGAAATATGTGTATTGCAACATTCCCTAACAAACAGAATAGAAGTTTCCTATCAATTATCACTACTTGTTCAATAGATGACCGAAGCTGTAAAACTAGAAAAATTAAAATAAAAATTCGATTTTACATTGTGTTAACAATGAATGATTTTTTTTTGTTTGATAATATATAAATTTGTATATTTGAATTTTTCATATCAAAAGGTCAACACAGACGCGTTAATAGGTTGTTATAAGATAGGGGGTCATTGAATGTGAAAAAAAATATTGCTAACTGTTTTGAAAAACTAAAATTAAATTCACTAAATATGATTATTAGTTTGAGATCGTCAATCATCAACGCGTTAAACTATGAACAAAAAACTCAAGCTGAACATTAAAAAGTTCATATACTCAAGGACAGGCGAAAAAGTCGTGTTATGCATATACACATATAGATGTCTAGGATTAGTTAACGAACAAAAAAACTCGAGAGCTAACTCTAAGAGTTCTAGTGAGAAGCCGTGACTAGTGTAGTTAGACAATGTTGGATGTGGTACAGTTACTTGCTAATTGATTTGGTGATCATTGTGCAATACTGTGAATTGATTAGAGTTAGAAATTTAAATCACTAGATCCCAAATGCCTTGTCTGAAGTTTAGACAATTGTTATGAGCACTGAAGGTTGTGGATTCAATCCAACATCGGAATATGGATGTGCACTATTGAGGAGTCCTACATTAGGACGAAGCACGCATCTAGTATTGTTTGCTTTTGAAACGGTTGTCTGCGATCAAATCGTGAGGCAAACTATGAAACGCAACAACGATATCCAATGTAAAACAACACTGATATAACGAGTGAATAAAAATATTTCCTGTTTTCATACGATATACTACTACTAGAGTACAACTGGTGACCGAGATTGTATTACTAGTAGACTGTACACTTGATCGATACTCTATACACATACTACGGTTTTATTATACAGGATACACAATTTACAACCGAATATAAAAAACCAGAGGGTGCAGAGTAAACAACACTTTATTCGACATAATTACAAGCAGTCTTATACCCAGTGAGTCCAAAGTACAGATCAATGATAAGAAAGAAATCACACATTTAATGGTCAGTAGTAAGCTGAATGTCTATCGATTTTCGTTCAGTAACCAATCACAACCTACCCTCACTAGCTACACACACCAAACACTACTTTTGAATCGCATTAGTAACGGTGAACATGAAATCATACCTGTTCAATAACATATTTTTAACACCTCATCTTTTTTCTATTTTATTATTCACAGAAGTGTTAGGATATTCATCCAATATCCTAAGAAAATTATTTGTGAATCTAGTTCTATTAGTCAAATCCGATTGTTTAATTCCTATTGGTTGTCCGAACCATCAAAGTCACTTCAAATGGTGCTTCCTATCCAACCTAACTGTATAAATATGCAATACCTGAAACGCTTTATGACCCAGATCCTTAGCCTCTTCTGGACTCAGACCTCGTACTTTCTGGATGCTTTCTACGCCATATCAAGACTTTTTCTTCAATTAGTTGGGGCAGCGGATTAGAGTAGCCTATCGTGTCTCACTCTCGTTTACTAACTAAGGTGAACTCGTAATAGTTCAAGCGTATCAATCGACGTAGTCACATGCATGCGTAACAAGAAGGATTGGTTAAAAGGAAACACAGTGAGAAAATTGAATATCTCTTCCTCTCTTTCTCTCTCTAACTATGTATAATAAATCAAACTATTTTCTGACAGATTCACATTACACAGTAAACAAAAATCCAAACAAAATAATCAGGAATAAATGTTATGAGAAACCAAGTGCTCAGATTACGATGAAAATCAAACACACATGAGGTGTTAGGTGTAAATATTATTATGCATATCATATCTTATTATTCATATTGAATGGTAAATCCGACACAGGATTAGTATAATGGATTTTAAGTCAACAACTAGAAAAACTTAGCCGATTGCTTAAATTAAAAAGTAGGTAGGAAGGAATGGATCAAGAATCGGCTACTTCATAGTTTAAAGTTGAATGCTTTAAGCACTAAGACACACCTCCACTAGGTAAATAAAGGTATGATGAGGTAAATGATGCTTGATATACAAACAAACTCCTCGGTAATTAGAGTAACAATAATAATATGATTATTATTACTATTTATAGTAGACAATTGAATGCCTTTACATCTATCTAATTCAAATAATAATGATTAATAAATTTGGTAACTTGAGAAAAGTAACAAAGAGTTGAAAAGCTAATGACAAGTAGACGGATTAATCATAGAACAATCGAGCATCAAAAAGATATTGGGATTAGCTCAAATGACAAGAAATTTACTACTGGTAAAGTTGATCATTCATTCGTCCACTGCTATTCATCATGGATATTTAGATGTTCAAAGCTTAAATTGAATATGATTAGATGTTAAAACTATAAAAAACAATGCTAGCCATTATAATATGAATTTATTTGACTGACTAATGATGAAGTTTACGACCTTTATTCGCTAGGATTTATCATCCAAAAATGAGTAAGTGAAAAATAAAAGGTAGTTGGGATATGTATGACATATACCGAACCACCGCCTCCATTACAACGTAAAGTATTGACTGACAGTGTAGAAGATTACAAGAAAGCTACTAACATTGATACGACTACTTTCATATTTTCACTTTCATGATCTTACTGATTGATTTGATTAGAAGATTGTGTTTACCATCAATTTATTTTTGAGAACCAAAAATCAATGAACTAACATTTCGTCTTGGTGTTATGAGCAAAGACGTTAAGATCAGATGGAATTTGTATATTTGGAGAGGACATAATTTATTTGCGAAATATGTATACCTAATCTTTAAACACTGTTTTGTAATATAAGCAGGCCTTTGACTGTCTTCTCTTACAACGCTTCTGGTCGTTCATTTACTCTGATTGAGCCCTGCAATTTGATTTCCAGAAACTCCTTTCTGGTAGCAACTCTAAGTGATGCTCTGCTGCATGATGTTCATATTGTGGTGTGAGCTACTTATAAGTAGTATATGACGTGAGTGTCAACGTAATGTCTGGCAGCGGAAGATGGGGAGAGATCAAGAAAGGAAGAGTTAGAAGAACACAATGGAATTTGTATGAAACGCATGAATAGCGACAATGGATTGATGTTTGGCAACAGGAACAGTCCAGTTCGATAGGATGGACTGATAATTTGCAAATGAACGGTTTACGATATGGTTTTCCGATTTTACTGAGTAACTCTGTAATTTTCGCTAAATACATTTCGGTTGTCCCACCTGTGTTCTCGTTCACTACAATATGCCACCTTGTAAGTAGCACCCACCACACTAGTTTGAGACTTCGTAACAGTGTGTATTTGTTTGACTACAGCAAAGTGGTTTCAATGGTTAGGCGTTTGAAGTGAGGCTTAAAGGTTTTACGTTTGATTCTTGGTGAGATCATGGGTGCGTACTGCTGAAGAGTTTCATATTAGTACAGAACAACAGTTTAGAGTTTACCGGTTTTCAATGGTACAACAATCTTCGACGAATACAAACTACAAATTAAAACTTAGTTAAAGATGAAATTAATACCATATATACGCATATGTTTTAAAAATGAAAACATTGAACAAATGATTTTATATAACTTACAGAAGTGATAACTGATAAGGAACCACTGAAAAACCATGAGAATATACGTAATTGTTCAGCTACTTGTAGAAATGTTTCCTTTATACAAACAAAAACAAACAGTAATCAAAAGGTAGACGTGATAAAAAAAAGCCAATACACAGGAAAAATACTTAACACATTCACTTCACTATGATATAACCAATACTATGCATAATATTTAGTGTAATATTAAATAATTTACAAGTTCAATAACCTATATATATATATATATATATATATATATATATATATATATATATATATATATATATATATTCTATTATAATGATCATTCCTCAGTATAAACAAGAACATATCGAGTTAAATAGATCATACAAGAATTCTTAACGTACATATTGTTGATACCAGCTTAGTTGTCATCTAATGGTTTAAAAATCTGTCACAAGGTCTAAAAACTGGTGTATTTAGTCAATGGTAGGATTGTGGATGAAAACTGCCAAGTAATTCTATACTAAGATGAAACATATGTTTAATGATCCATAATTTTTAAAAGTACCCAAAATTAGGCCAATTTTTATTGGGATTGAGATTAAGCGTAAGGCACTAGACTATGATGAGCAGTCAGTTGACTAGATAACTGATATTCACTGTAGAGCAGATGCTTCATTAAAATAAGGCTAAGTTGAACGTTTGAAGCCCACTACGCTTGCTTCCGTTTAGGCACCCGGGGCAATATCACTAGCCCTCACACTTTAAAGTATACTAAACTGAACCTGGTAAATGATTGGAACAGTAAATAGAATAGAGTGGAAGATCAGTAAGTCAGCAATTAATAGTGTAAACATCTAACTTCAATCGATTCACGATATTTTGTAACCCTTTTCTATCATCTGATATGAATAACTTTTTCACATCGGACACTACTGAACTCCACTGGTCACGGCTTCCATAAACTAACTCAGACTGGTTCGCGATCGCAACCATATCGAAAAATTTCCATAATATACTACTATAATAATGATAAGAAGAATAGCATCATTGTAAGATGAAATTGCCATGCGGCTTTGAGAATGAGTTTAACAATACAAATAAGAAGCTTTCTCTTATAATTCATTTTGATGTATACACTATGCTGTGTGAAGATATGTTAATAAACAAAGAACAAGGCAATATAAAACGATAACATTTAAATGTATCATTTGAATTGTAGTTCAATGTCAAATGATTAGAAGCAATTGACATGAAGATCGTCCAAATCTCGATTCTTAACTCATCATCATCATCATCATCGTCAAATTCTTCCTGATTGGATTCAACCACCAAATATCAAACAAAATTCACAGTGACAATGTGTTAAAGTTTGGTGACCACATTGCGAGTTCAGTAAATTGATCAGTCATAAGCAACGAAGAACCTGGTACAAATGTGTATTGATTTGAGTTGCCACACTATATCAACAGTATGTAATGATATTATCAAGATAAATCCTAGATTAATGCATAATTTTGGAACTCAATATTTAAACATTATGATGAATTCCAAACCATGCCACCTGCAATCTCTAGACACTGGTTAATCAGGTAGTTAGCACCTAATAACATGGCTCATGAATTGATACTATGTCTTGGTTTGGTCAACCCTAGTCTTCTTATAACTTACTCTAGCATCATCTAGTATTTTGTATCATGATACACGGCAGTTAGTGTTGCATCAATATGTAGATGATCTTTGAGTGATCAATATGCAACGAAGCCAAGAGACTTGCTACTCTCTGCTTGAATGATAGCCCAATACTAGCATATCCCAAGTGAAGAGGAAGCAAAAAAACCAATGATCATCAGTCTAATATTCGTTTATACACAAGAAAAACAGACCACATCGCATCAGTAAGTGGAATTTAATAACACAGGAATAGGATAGGTTGTAAATAATAAATTCTTAATAAGACAGGAACAGTAAATTGTATGATAATAATTTAAGGGCTTATAGAAAGCTTATGATAAAAGGAATATATATATATATATATATATATATATATATATATATATATATATACCTGATAGTCTGTTTAATTGATAATTATATAATTAGATTACATACACTAATAGTCCATGAATTAGTTGCCTAGGTTACTATTTACTTTAGTCTTCATCCAGATACAACAGTTGGGTAAACAGGTAATATATTTCCCAACCACCGTGATCGATGAAAAGTCACAACATTATCAGCAACCGATTTGTTATCTTCGTTTAGTACTCTATGTTCATTCCCAAGCAGTGATCCAAACATACCCAGGCAACACCTTCAAAACACCTATGACTACATACCTGCGCTCTATGAAGATCTTCTACATTTAAATGTCACGTTTCATGACCATCAATTAAAATAGGGTAAACTGCTAAGTAGAATAATTTACTTTTGCCTATCAAACGGATATGCAACAAAAGCGAAGTAAACTTTCTAGATCTATCGATAGACTAGAGCTAGCAAGGCTTACAAGATAGATAAAGGTGACAGAGTAACAATATTCTGTGTTAACACTACTTCTATGACCAGTGAAATCATGTTTAAGAGGATGCTTTTTGGTTGGAAAATTATGAAACCTTTCAAAAAATTAAAATATATGATGAATATTTATCGATTCTTACCTCTAAAATAGAATTAGCCGGTTTAATTAGAAAGAAAAATGGTTCATCTGAAGATATTTTTCTTAAGCGTTCTTCAAATTCATGACATTCTTCAAAATGCTTTACAGCTGGTCTAAGCATGTTAAAATAAAAGTTTAAAATAGAATCAATCCAAAAGATTAAAAAAAAAAACGTTTCCAGTCAATCAGTACAATGATGTTAGCAATGACTAACTAATTTCTCAAGATATTACTTGAAGAATGAACTCAATAAATTTAGTAGCATTAAAAACTTGTGAATTTAATTCGTAAGGACCAACTATTATCCTTGAATTCAAGTAAATCATCGGCTTATCAAGAGCTGAAGTTCAGAAAATAGTTTTTTTTTTCATTTACATCAGCGATGGAAAATGGACTGGGAAGAACTTGAAAACTAGTTGAGCCGCAATGTATGAAAATAATTTGCCATTTTAACTTTTTACAGAAAGTTGTATAACTGATGATATTTTATTTCTAATTTATTCATAAGTTTAAATATCGAACTTGTTTTAGAGCTTGATATCATTCAGTCAGTCAGTCAGATGCAACGTAGAACTTTGTACATAAGTACATCAGTTGAGGTGGTTGGGACATGTGTTGCGTATGCCCAACCACCGACTGCCTCGTCGAGCCTTGTTTTGTAGTGTAGGAATAGGTTGGAAGAAAGCTAGGGGCGGCCAAACCAAAACATGGCAGAAATCCATGAAGTCATTGACAAGTGGACTGAGCCATATCGGTAATTGTCGACTACCTGGTTGGGGTCCGCGAGATGATAATAATCGATGGTTAGAGACCTTGAATGACATGGCTCAAAATCGTTCGCAATGGCGCCGGTGCATTTATTCTCTGTGTTTTCTCAAATGCTAATCTTCTGGATTCTTCAACCCCTCTAGTTTCGACTCTCTAAACTTTTCTCACTGAATCATACTTCTTGAATAGTATCTTCTAATCCTAACCTCTCCGATTACTTCTAATTCCCTTACTACCTCTTCTACTATTGGATTTGAATCGACGATTACTTCTCTGTGCTGATGTGGTATGGCAACATGAACTGAGAGCTTGATATCATCTTTTTTCATTCTGTTAACTACAATTGCTCACGACCAAACCTCTGTATCGTTTTTGGAGTCAACGAAGATGAATTTTCGAAAATCTATCGACTCAATAGTGCCTATTAGAAACCACAAACGTTTCATAAACGTTTGGTCTAGATTGCCTGACTGGGAACTATTCCAGGATATTTCGAGATAGAAATCATGTCTATACTTCAATGAGTTTTATGAGTTTCGTTTATTGTAATTTTATTCAATATTGACATTTCCTGGCTATCTACTACACAAGAAGGTATCTCGAGAAGACCTTGGAGGAGAAACTGTATTTATCTTGAAGTGTGACTGTGCAGAGGTTGGTCATATACCAGAGAATTTTAACACTAACATGCTACAACTCTTGAAACCCGGACAAATAGCTCAGAAATCAATATAAAGTATAAGCTTCAAGGTTAATTTGGACACATAAATCATACAGTACTGATATGATTAATTAACAACCTTGTGATTGAAATTACATTATAGAGAAATAATTAAATCAAGTCCTAGAATTTATCGACATTGTATGAAAAATGTTGATTGTGAATACTTTACAATACTCGATGATCACAAGCATTAAATTGCAAGGTTAACTCTCTCCACCTCTCAGGTCAATACCACCACTCCGTTTGAACAAAAGATTAGTATCACTAAATTTTACTATTCACTTCCTTTACAGATATGAATTGTCTTTTTTAAAAAAAAATTGATTTCAGTATGAAAATGTCATCATTTAACAGTTACATTTACAGCTTACAAAAACCTGCTGTATGATGACGTCTATGACCATTCTACTCTAATTTTGATATCTGAAGTGGCGATATGTCCCAAACTTCAATCAATCCACAATTAGATATGAAAACTACTTAGAAAAAAAAGTACGGCTAATATTCGAGCACTGAAAAAAACGATCTAGTGATTGGTGAATGACATAATATTGACCAGAGCAAACAAAACATTCTGATATTGATTGTCAAGTAGCTGGAGATGTCAGGCAGGAAATCCTAGACCTAAGATCCATAGAACTTGGTTCGAACTTGTCACTTGGCTTAATAGCTTGAAACGTTACTACTAAGCGATGCGGATTGCAAATGATCTCCTGTAGGACTAAGACATTTAAAACTGATTGCTCACTGATTTTTTGGCAGTATCATTTGTCAAGTCTACAAACCATTTGATGTTCTTGAAGTGAAACACAGAATACAAACGAAACATTACAGTATTTCAACAACGCAAACATAAACAAATATTGGTAATCATTGTACTCATTGATTAACAGACATTCAATTGAATAAGAAAACATACCCATTAGCTCTTTGGGCAAATGTAACAAGACCTTGAACAGTTCGATCACCCATAAATGTATATGACACTGTACCATTAATACTGTAGTAGTGGTAAAAATTATACAAATACAAAAACAAATTTAAGAAGATTTAGTCAAATTGCACAATGAAAACGTATAACTCGATAATTTTTATAAAAGTTTAAAATTTGATTGTCAGATTTGAGGCACTATTGGTATTATAAGCATCAATATTACTCCTCATACATAGTCGGTCAGTTAGCTACTATGTAGAACTTCGCACGTACGTACATCAGTTCAAGTCGCCATAACACATTAGCACATAGATACAACTGTACATAATATGAGTATGGCTGGTAAAATTGTACGCCCTTACTACAGTATTTAGATTATTTATGATTTAACTTTAGGTATGTAGTGTAAAAATCCTTGTTATCATTAGAAATGAGTTTAAAATAAACATTTACCCAACCAAAAATTAATCAACATGTTCAAAACCTGACTTGTTTGATTGAGAGTGATATGAAGCGAAATTGGTGGTACAAATCCAAGTCATACTTGTTATCCTCTTATAAGTTTGGAATTGTATCTCGACACTAATTATTCATTCATTGTTAAACGGCGTTTTTTATTGCATGCTACAATATTCATTACAGTTGAAATGAAGTCCAGTTACTTTCTTTACATTTCGTTTTGCGTTGTACTTTGAAATGTGATGCAACCTAAATTATGTACCATACATAAAGCCTTTTGCTGAATCTTAGGTTGACGTCAAACTTAAAGACTGACTTCGAAATAGTAGTCACTTCCTCAGACATCAGCTGGACACTTTGAGGGTCAATAATATCAATAGATTTTTCCAACTAGTAATCGAACTGTTTCTGTTGTTGCCCATGCAGTGACCTAATTTTATCATTTCAAAGAGACGTACTCCAAATCATTACGTTGTTACAATTGAAAACTAACTTGAGAGTTAAAGTGGATATCACCTGGAATAAAACTTGCAAATCTTTCCCTTCACTATTGTTGTAACTTGACATAAACACTAGTATGGCTAATCATTACGGCTGTGAACATAACTGGTTACTTCGTATTATATAACTGCACAAAGACTGATACGGTTCAATGTAAACAAAAGGGAAAATACCAAGAGATTTACACTAAACTCATTAAAAAGGAGGAGGCCGTCTAGTGCCCCCACGTCTTTAATGGTTGCGGCAATAAGCTTCAACAATCTCCACAACCTCATTGTGATTAAGATAATATGATTATCAACTTCAAAGTAAAAAACTTAAAACACTTACTACTTAATTGTTGGAAAACCTCGTACATTAAACATTTTGGCGATCCCGGTGTATATCGTAGCGTCAAGTCTAGCAACTTTAATGGAAGGTTCTGTATGCAGTAATATCCTGCTAGCTTCTTCATAAGTACCAGCCAATCGGCGACAGAATCCACACCAAGGAGCATAAAACTAAGAATTTTAAATCTGTTTGTTATCAGATAGTTACCTGGACAAGCCAAGGACCCTTGTCAATAAACTCGACGAATCTAAAAAGTGTTTTGGAAATTCAAGTATTGTGAATACCTGTTATCCAGTTCGAATACTTCACATTTGACAAATAGTAATATAATCTCTGCAAATCAGTTAAGCGGCGAAATAGAAACAACCTGTCAACAGCCAGAACACAGAAATCAATATCATAGGTATAGTGTAGATTTAGTAGTTTTTAATTTATAAGTGGTATATGAGATCAGTCTGGAGTTTGAATCGTTTCATCCAATAAGATCCCAAACCTATCTAAACAAGAAAAGGAATAAAGAAAATCAACAGCCTACTGGACACATTTAAATGTGGGCGATTTCCTAAAAAATGTAAACACATAAACCGATAAAATGTGTATGTTGAATTTACGTTTGCTGATATGAAGGGGTCAAAGCACTTGAATAAACCATAAGGCTCGAAATCAAAAGTTGACTTCGTATACATCACCCTCCGTAGCCACGAAAAAATACTTGCCTTAATAAAAAACATGGTTAAAAGCCAAATATGTGGGAGTTTATTTGTTTGCTCAGCTATTCATAGGTAAGTTTAGACTTCTTAAACTGCGTAATCAGATTAAAATCCCTATTTTTGTCCATTAGATGTGTCATTCTAACCGTATTACGCATTTTATGACACCACGTAATTCTGATGTCCATGGCGTTATTAATGATATTTGGGTGATGCTTTATGTCTCTGTCATCTACACCAAATGTTTATCCTTGACCAGCATATAAAACATAGAGGTTGTTCAAAAGCATGTCTCAAATCCATTGTACCGGTACAATAATGTATGAAACTGTTTTCGCGTGAGTTTTTGGTAACTTTCGAAAACTCCAAGTTGACACTGATGATTTTGGCTGACAATTTGTCGATATCAGAAGACTTTATATTAGTGTGAGGAATGAGGATTACGATTTGAAGTTAAAACTTAGAATTAGGATTTAGAGTTAGGGTATTCATAGCGAACTGACATCAGCCATAAATACTACGATGCATTTTAGGCACATGGATGTATAGATCGCGGGCTCAAACATAAAGCTTTCCATTTTAAATGGAAATGGTTCGTTTATAAATTATAGATCCGCTACAAATAACTGATGATAACAAGTCAAATAAAACCCATTAACTTAAAACCTTGTCATCAAGGTTTCGACTGGATTATAGAAATGTAAGATATAGAAACTTGTCAGATTGACAGATATTAGGCCAGAACTGAAGTATTAATGATGAAAATCCTACTAGTTACAAAGATAACCTTAAGGCAAAGGACATTAAAGTCACCAAGGGTCCCTACGATGGAGAAGCTAATCAGTTCCTAACAAGGTCAGACTACAAACTAAGCGCTTCAATCTAACAAGGATGTATATCTGATGCGCAGCATTTCTAATATCCAATATCCAATATCTTTTTCACGAGCTAGTGTAAACCAATTTGATTTCTTCGCGCTCGATTCTTGTTCTTTCGGTACGGTTCCAGGTGTTCGGTAATGTCCAACGGATGGAGGTCTAGCCACTCGACTGTCTAATTCTAGTCAGTTGGTTGTGAGTTTGTATGTCTCCGGATTTGAATGAAACGTTTGTTTCAGGGCAGTAGGATTTCTGGATACTAGCAGCCGTCACATTACCAGACCGGAGATCAGTTAGTTGCAGTGTGGAGAGTAATAAGGGTAATAGGGATAAAATTCTAATGATAATATGAATAAAATTTCAGAACTGAGTAATATATAAATGAATTTAGTTTATTAATTGGTAGCGAAGTTTGTGAGAGAGGACCGAAGTGTAAGCAAGGAGGAGGAAACAGAGATAATGGGCGAGATTGATTAATTGAGTGATCTGAGGAGATGGCAATGATAACAACTAGCAGGTCTCAAGATATGCATCAGGCACAGCTTGTCCAAGAGAGAGATGATAGTCTGTATGTGAGTACGTGATTATAAAGTCTCTTCTTAAAGCAGTCCACTGAGGGGGCTGTAACTACCTCTGCTGGGAGAGCACTCCAAGTTGCGACGACTCGCAATGAGAAAAAGTGTGCACGAATCTGAGTATTTGCTCTTTGATGTGCAATTTTTCGAGGATTGCCTCGAGGGGAGTGGTGGTGATGCATCGGTAAGATACTCACAGTGGGATGGTTTGGTGTACGCCATAACCAGGTCACCTCTGATTTGCCTGTAGCTCGGTGGGAATAATCCCAAGAGCTGGAGTCTATCGTCGTGGGGTTTATTTTTCAACATTATCCCCCCTTTTCGTTGCTCGTCTCTGCACTCTTTTAAGCAATGCGATGACGTTAGAAACCCCTAAGTATGGGCGCGCGTACGTCTTAAACAGGGTTAAAAATAATTTCGGGGTGATAGCGCCAAGCTGTCCGCATAAGGTGAAGAGTCGCACTTGCCTTGGCTGCATACCCTACATATTTTGGACTGGTGTGGAGGCTTTCTGTGGTAACATCCTCTTCATCCCAAGTGTCAGCTGCCACTCTTGAAGTACTTAGTGATAACAGAAATGAGTCATCAACTGAAATTCAAATGCATCCACACAGACTACATGATTTAAAGGTTAAACAGAAAAGGGAATTGAAGTCTACTATCTCACTCATGGACAGTAGTCATCTGATAGGGATACCTGAAACAACAGCATCTCAAATTATGGACCAGGATTTGGTGTGTTTCATAGCGACTTAAGAGCCGAAATGGAAAGTGAGGCTTTGAGGTGGAGAAAATATGTGTCTCAGGCGTGTGTTTGTGGGGGACTGTTGTACTCTGAGCTGAATATTTTGGTCTTGGAGCTTTCATTATTCACCTGAACGAAATCATTGACACAAAATTTAGGTAGAAGTGAAGGATTTGAATTTCTTCAAGTATGACCTAGGAGCTTGTTCTGTTGACCGCGATCTTGATTCGCTACGAGTCATACCTAGAGAAATTCGAATACCTCACTCCTACTTGAAGTTTTTGCTGATGTTGCTGAGAAGTACAATGGAAGCTGAAACTTCAGGAGGATCTGACCCCTGCTTAGAACTGAGTTCTTAACGGTGGACTTGAATTTAACACGAAGTGTAATGTAGTCCATCGGATATTTGCATCAGACCTCACATGCATCTAAATTAACTCAACCCTACAGTTGTCACAAGTTGAAAAAGATCTAAGAGTCTGTAGTGCCTCCACATTTATTTGCATCCGCTTACACTTAATTTGTTTAAGCCCTTTCGATTAATTTATTTAACCAAGCCATTTGTATAGCAACAACTCATATGTACCATTGTTATTTTTTATTATCTGCTTTGTATGAGCTTATACGACTGAGCATTGCTTACGCCTACGCGCTTACTCATCCTTTTCGCTTTAATGTTAATCTCTTAATATTCCCATGAACTCACATGATTTGTATCGCTTGCTTTTGACCTTGTCAATCATTCGTCGCTTTTATTCATGTGTGTGCATATCTATTTCGCTTGTCATATGTCTGTCTTATTTTTGGTCTGACTATATATATATTCTTAGTCATGTTCTCTCTTTGAGTTGGCTCTTAGCCTTCTCCGATTCGCTTCGTCCACTCGCTCGCATTGTAATCCAAAGAGTTGGCTCTTAGCTTTCTCCAATTCGCTTCTCCGCTTCGCTTTGTGATGTGCCTCGAATAAACGTATTCATCAATACGAGTTCATCTTCTGATTTATAAACCGAGCTTAAGAACACGCAGTTATCGGCACACTACAAGTCTTATGTTCTGTGATCAATAGTCGTACGCTAACTGTGACGATAAATGAGTTTCGATCAAACCTTACACTGGCAAAGATGAAGCGCTGAAGTCCTTCATGCAGAAACCTGGCGTATTCTCAAGGACTCTGGACAATATTCTGTTAAAAATGAAAGTAGTTGGAGTGTGTCAGGAGTCGCGAAAGTGCCTAAGAGACACTGAATTTGTCTAATTTCCTTGTATTTCTGTCAGTTTACACAGAAACGTGCCCATTTATTCTTGTCTTTGTTCATTACAACCTAGCGAGAGTGAATAATAAGGGCGTCAGTAGTGTACCCAACAAAGTCGTGGGAAACAACTTCACCTTGATATTTCTGTATGTTAACGGTAATGCCATGTTTTGAAGTTGTCAAAGTGAAAAGTTCAGGTGCTGGAGATGAGATACTCTCTCCAAACTCGCTACTAGACGTTCATCAAAATAAGCGTGCACAAAGTCGAGACGTTTGAAAACGTTGTCACAGAAAGTTTGTAAATTTTAATCAGAATTTCTCGAACCGTAGGGCATGCGCATAAACTTGTAGAGTCTAAAGAAATGATGATACCCATTCTTTGAATGTCCTTGTTAGCTGCAGGGATTTGATCATACACTTCAACACGTCGGTCTTCAATAAAACAGCCGTAACTTTCGAGGTAGCTGTCAAATCGTGATATTATAAGCAGCATTACTGATTACAGTGATGCGATCGCTTATAATACAGATGTAATAATATTTATTCTCAAATTACATTGTGTTACATATCTCATACCAGGCAAGATCAAATAGTTTAAAATGCTACCACGATTACAGTAGAATTTCGCTTCATTAGAATAATAACAATGATTAGTAATAAGTCTTTTTCCGAAATTGCACGTTTACGCGAATTCAATGATAGGAACAGGTTAAAGCAGCAACATTTTCAGCAAGTAACAACAAATGAGCTAGGCACACAGCAGAATGGGGAGAAGCATCATGGTTGTTCAGTGCTGATGAAGTTTCTAGAAGGAACAAACGGGAAGCATAAAAAAGAGCGACGAGGAAACTGGAAAGATGACTGGAGCATTTGTCAACTGTACATAGTGAAGCAGATAAAGTAGTGGCAATGTTGTTGGCGTTAGATCCCCCAGATCTCGCTTGATATATGAGTTACATTGTGATTTCATGTTTGCGAGCATGGGCCTATCAGTTGACCTTGAGATTTTATTTCCCACCAGGAAACTCCTTGGCTGTGGTCGGCTGCTGTGAGTTTTAGTGACTTCCCAAGGACGTTTCAGTGATCTGTAAATAAACGACTAAGATGGACCCGTAATAGTTTCAGGCGTACCTAGTGACGGATCATAACAGGTAACACAGTAGATAAAACTCATACAGACTACTTATGTGCATTAGTTCAAAGGAAAAATCTATTGAGTTTAACCGTGAATGGCCATAACATACAACTGGAGAATGAAATTATACAAACCAATGATTAACTATTATCGTCTACTGACCTCTGTTCCTTCGGATGGGCCAGTATGATGTGAAGTTGTAGGTGGTCGATATCAATGATTGGCATCGACACGTCTGACAAAACTAAAATTCGTTGAATCGGGTTGCGTAAAACCACTTTAAAGTAAATGAACGTATATTTGCATGGGGCTATCGGTTTTCATTTTGATCGCCTGAAGATGAAACACTGAATTATGTGATCAATATTTTGTGTTCGCTAAAAGGTAGTCAACCTCGATGAGAAATGGAACCCTCATCATCACATCAGTGATGAAAAGGCCACGGCCTTGTTCAACAACAACAACTGATGTTAACACGTGTTGGCAAGAGAGCTGGCCGGAATGTTTCCGGAGTTAAAATTATCGCCTTGGCAAACCGCAGAGTCTCCGAAGGAATGATCTGTAACGAGGTGAATCTTTCCTATCTCCTACTCTGAAGATTGGATAGAGTAGCTCATTTACATTCCTCAGAAGGTTGATGTGACTCCAGTGAATGCCCGGACAAGTCACATACCAGTGAACCAACAGATTTCATGCACTATTTCAGGATTATTGAGTTTAGGTTGTCGCAACCTGAGATCAGGAGTTTAGGTTTCTTTAGATGATCTCCAGGCCACCAGCATGCATCAGGTTTGAGTGACAGTGTGAACTTTGGACTAGTCAGTGAATCGGCATTAAATATCTCAGCCATCTCTAAGTTAGTAAGATGGTCACCATTTGGAATTTAGAGAACACAAACACCCTGGTTTTTAGGTTTTCGTTTAGTCATGAACGTAAAGAAATATTTTGGGTTTACCTGTGCTTTTGCTG